CCCCAAAACCCCAAAACCCCAAAACCCCAAAACCCCAAAACCCCGAGGCAAATAGAGAAGATTGAGTGCATAATTTTAGCCAATCTTATGAACTAGAATCTTCGTCACTTGAAGCCACTGAACAAATGCTGTCTAAGTCATTGTCGCCTCTATAATAATTAAGAGTGAGAAGTGGTTGGGTTACTTACTGAAATCTACCAGTTAACTCAATGTCAGGCAGTCCATGCTTTTCTAAAATAGCTTTGACACTGTTGCTTTTGAGGTAAGTGAACCCAAAACTTATCTCACCAAGAGAGTGCTTTAAGTCTGACTCTAACAAGCCTCCTAATAAATGTTCTAGTCTTTCAGGGTAATCCACCCAATTGTTGTATGCTTGTCCTTCAGAATTTGAAAAGGTGATCTTTTGGATAGAAGTCCCCTTCAAACAGCTAGTGAAGTCAGGTGAATGACCCAAATCATATCAACATTTTGTTATGTATAGTTCAGTTTTGTCCTTATTGGCTCTCAAAAGTCTCTTCAACTGTGGCTCATTTATTTTACCATTTGAAAGGGCTAATGACTGACTAGCTTTATGACTCACTCGTATGATAGAAGGCAGTAAAGGTCCCCAACTAGAAAGCTGGCCAGAATAAAACCTTATTTTATTACAGATCCCAGGAAGTGAGGTGGCTATGAAATCCTGTAATATCTTCAACCTCGGAAGTTTCATATCAAAATTGATCATTTCTAGAGGAGGAAGGTGTACACCCTTCAGCTTTTTCATAAAATAAATGCAATTTAGATGGCTTGGAATAATATTTAGGACACCTTCTGGCTGCAAATGATTATAATTACTAATAGCAAACATCTTCCTTAATCCTTGACGATGAATAACAGAGCATATGTGAGTGTCAAGCTTGCAGCTTTCCTCTTCTATCTGTTCTTCTTGAGAGACAAGAGCTCTAGTGCTCTTTAATGTTTCTTCTTCTCCAAAAATTGAGAGTTTCTTAATCAAGCTTATATCATCATTTTGAGCACAGGTCTTCTCTTCCACAACTTTTGAATCTAGTAAGGAATCATATTTATCTCATTGCTCATTAAGATCTTTATTTAACTGGAGAGTCCTTTGAAAGAAATCTTGATCTCTCCATATTATGGTTCCTCAATTTGTAATGTTAATACCCATTTTTGTTCTGTTTAATTCACCATGTATTTGAGAAAGGCGAGTGTAGGCAATCTTTTTCTTGCTGGTTTCATAAGCTTTTAGCACGCTTTTAGCATATTGATAGAGAGTTTCATCTTGCTTAAGCTTGATCATCCTGTCCTTCGCCTTCTCTGAATAGTTTTCTAAGGTTGGTTTGATGGAAGGAAATTTTTCTGAAAGGTTATCTATGTTTCTATCAAGAAGATTAAGAGTGTTCTCTTCTTTCTTCTTCTCGTTTACATGTTCAGGAGTTTTCTTGCTAGTCTCATAGCTATCTGTACTATCCATTTTATAAAAAATTCTATTAGTTTCAACGATCTTAATAACAATCGGGGTTTTGGGGTTTTGGGGTTTTGGGG